TTCTTAATTATATCCTACACCCCCCCCCCCCCCCCGCCCCGTGGGTCCTACAACTACAAAGCAAAATAATTCTAATTTCTGGTTCTACTTTCCGCTCGCTCTTCTCTCAGATGTTCATTCGGTGAATGTTTCTTTTTGCCTTGTTGTCGTTTTGATCAAATTCCCCTTCGCCACAATTCCGAATCTACTCTCCGCCCTACCGAGTTTATCACTACTTTTCCACGAACAATTCCCGAGCGTCCAACACCCATATTTTTTTCACACTGGTATTTATACATATATATAGGCTTGTTCTGCTCTTCTGCATTTCAGAACATTCTGGCCCTCCTCTCTCAATCTACATTTCATCTACCAATCTACTCCCAATCCCTTCGTTTTCGCATTTGATACTTCGGAGGACAGTGAAGAGATTTTGCCCCAAGAGAGGAAGAACGCAGAGAGGGATTTCTTGAATGAAAGGAAAGACTACACGGAAAGAACTGCAGTGGAATATTGAGGGGAAAAATTTTCGAATTAGGATTGTTGCACCGGAAGAGAAACACAGGTGAACAGGAATATTAGGGATTACAACGAGGAGGGAGGATATATTTCGACACAGAACGGAGACCACACGCTACACACCAATTATGCCTTCGCGATTAACAGCTGCTGTTCTGTCGGTAGACGCGGGTAAGATGCATGAGGTGGATACAAGAAATGCAGAGTCTCTGCATGGAATGTGGATGGGTGAGTCCTTAAAAGCCTTTCCCCTCCCCAACACCTTCTCCAATTGTGCGCTGGGGAGATAGGCGACATGCCCAATATAATTCACTAATCGTCCATGGTATTAGTGTTTTCCAAATGTGCGGATTTTATGGAAGAAGGACGGCGACTGGAAAATCTAAGTTGGAGACTATGGACCAGGGAGACCTTTTGCGTCGAACCACTCCAACAGGAAGCCACGCAACTAGAGATCCGAAGCTTACGGTGTGGATCCCGGGAGATCCCAGAACTGTCGTCGAGCGTGGAATCCGCGGAGTCGGACGAGGCGGAACAGATAGAGACTCACATCAAACCCTCTCAGGCTCTTGACGTAAAGCCAGCCATTATTGAAGATGATTCTGCATTGAGCATTAGTCGAGGGAAGGAAAAGCACATTACTTCGTTGGGATTGGAAAGAATGGTATACAATATCAAGGAGAAGAAGTGTTTGGAACCGCTGTCGCTACCTAACACCCCATCTCAACGTGGGGTTACTGCTACAACTCCTGTTGCGGTTGATCTTACACCCGGTCCTTCTATGCCCGCCCCTACCCCCATCGCAAGAGAACCACAACAAGTCCTCCCTCACCAATCATCAGATTCGTGCTCTACGGCTGCTCTCGGTGGCCTGGAGAGTGACCACACCTCTCCCGTGGGATCAGATACAAGTCTCTCCTCGTCTGGGCGTGTGGAGTCAACAGGTATCGATGAGTCTACAAGAATCGTTCGCGGGTTTTCTCCATCTCAAATTTCCTCCTCCTACCGGTCACGTCCTCAAATTTCTTCAAGCCCCACGTCATCGAATACAAGTGTTCCGGTAGCATCCTCACCGCTCAAAAAGGCGGGCGGAATGTTTACCCTTGGCGGCTCGTCAGGTGAGGACGAGAGCTCGTTTGAGGATCGCATGACAGAAAAACCTCAACGAAGCTCACTGTCAGATGGCCTTCAGCAGACTGGCTCCTCCATGAAGATGGCCTTGATCAAGAATTCCATGGAATCTGCACCTGTAAGAGCAATTAGTGAAGGCTCTGATGATGAAGATGCCATCGAGACGGATGATGACGATGAAGAGATTTCAGAGAGCGCCATAGAAGATGATGATGATTCTTCAGAGTGGGAAGACTCGGTTACTGAAAGCGGTAGATCGAGCGTCGACGAAAAGGAACTCTTCCAGCGCGTTGACTCGCGGCCTAATCTTGTCTCGAGACGATCACTACTGACCATGATGATCCATCAACCGCAACGTACGATGAACGGACAGCTCGCTGGCAAGTCAACGTGTCCCGCTGGATCCCGATCAACACCTGCCCTCCAGCAATCTCATCTGGCATCCCCCAATGAAGATTCCGCCCCTGGATCAATAGAAGATGATGAAAATACTCTCACTATGAAAGGGCCCGATGTACCCAGGTCAAAACCCATCATCGTCAAATCAATGCCCACCCACCAAATACCACACTCACCACGAACGACGCGGAGGAACATGCTTGCGACCGAGTTGACAGAGTCGCTACGGCGCCATCTGCTCTGGGAACGACAGCAAAAGACCACACCGGGTTTTAAACGCAGGCATACTGCGTATGATATGGGAAATTTACAGGACTTCCCCGGGTCCAAGAATAACAACAGTAACGCGAACATGGATGTGAACGTTAACTTGACCAATATGAACGGAGTACAGACAGCGCAGAGGTATGCGCAAAATATCTCGAGCAACTCCGGTTCTAGGGACAAGGAGACATCTAAGAATAGTTCGTGGAATCATTACTTCGACTACGGACCGTGGGAATATCATGTAAAGGGCTGGTGATGTTACGATTATCTTTCTGTCTTAACTCTGCCGTCCCGTCCTCCTTTTCCTCCAACATTGTCGCCTTTCTTTTTAGTTTTGATACCCAACCGTTCGACTCTAGACAGACTCCCTTTTCTTCATGTGCTGTATCTTACAACCTGCATCTTTTTCATAACCATGAAACCATACACACGCTATTCCTTCCTCCTCCTTATTATTACTACTTCCTATTCTCTCCATCAAACGCGACGTCCCAAAATCAAGAAAGCCTCAACAATCAAAGCAAGAAAAGGAACATTGCTCGCGCGAAGAAGGTTGTTTTGTGTCTGCTGAACTTTTGGTCCCCTTTTACTCTTCCTAACTCCCCATTCATCAAATTGATCTATCAAAAATCCCCCACCTCCAGGTTACAAGAAAGGAGAGAGCCTGTGTGAGAGGAAATATTTCGGAATCAAAAATTTGCATGTAGCGCCCGGCGCATTAATGTTTCGGTTTTGCCCCTTTAATTGTTTACTCATTCAAGCTTTCTTTTCTCCTTTTCTTTTTTTTTACAATTCTTCTTTTCTTCAGGTTAATCCTGTAACTGTTTTTTCCCCCTTAGTTTGCATGTGCTAGTTCTAACCGCTTGGACGACGACAAGCGCGAAAAGTCTTTTTTCTTTTTTTTTCCTTTTCTTTTCCCATGGGAGATTGTTATGGTTTCATAATATCTGTGGAATCTGGGGTCATCTGAGCAAGTGTGATTGCTTTCTCTCATTCTAACAATCGTGTTTGTTTTCGTTTTCAAAACAGATCCGTGGTCATGTATTGTGTATAGTATTAGTATCCGGCCAGTTTCAATAGCGACAAGCATAGGTACATTTCTTTTTTAACCTACCTCTCTAGGTAAAAAGAATTCGATATATTCTGACGGAGTCAATGATCCCTCATTTTTTTACTCAGAACCAACTTTTCTACGGCAATTTCATTCATGGTAATACGTAACTGTTGTAGGACTTTTTGACAAGGCCAAATCTTCTGCACTCACCAGCAGATGGCTAACTTATTAGATGTAACTTATTAATCTTTCCCCAGATGCTGCTATGGTTACAGCTAAATTCCGCCATACTACCCGCGCGTATGCGCAGCACCACCTACGAAGCTAGGCCCCTAGGTTGGTATGTCACATTATATATGTAACTAAATTACTCCGTATGAACATGCATTTTAACTAGTACTGGTTCTGCTCAAAATCGCAATGGCCGTGTGGGCATGATGAAGTCATACCATCTCGGGAAACAACAGTTGACAGAGCATGTCAAATGTCAAATGCTTTCCATCTTCCAGCATGCAGCGGAAGATAACGAACGCATATAGCTGCGGTGGCAAGATGGCGGAACTGAAAAGACAACGCATCGCTCAGGTGGATGGGGGTGCTGACCTTGAAAGCCGGGCAGAAACACACAATAGTTACGGCACGCACGACTCGGACACGACTCGGACACTCGACACGACACTTGCTCGTTCGACATGTCGACCTGACCAGCAGCAAACGCCGGCTGAACTGGAGCAGGGAGGGATGATGAGTTGGCAAGTTTTTTTCCCTTTTCTTTCCGGGGTTGCCTTGTGCGGAGTAGTTATGAGATAGTAGTCCCTGGTATTATTGTTTCATGGATGTTGAGTGATGGGGCGCGGAAAAGAGGAGATCGGATCAGGCTCTGGCTTGCTATTCACGACTCACGAGGTCTCGAGGTTCGTCAAAAGATCGTTGTGATAGGCTGGAGGATATGACTCTTTTTACCCTCTTTCGATCTCTTATTCTTTTCTTCTTCTATCCTTTTTTCTTCTGCTTGTCACGCGTGTACGCGGATCTATCATTCTATCATTATTCTATCTTTTCCTAGCCTAATTACCAAAGAGAAGAAGTCGAAGTAAGGGGGCGTGAAAACAAAACCTTAGCCAGGAAACTCTGTGATAATAAACGGGTAACTTCACGATCTCATTGTTCAATTCAACCATTCATTTTTTTGTTTGTTTCATTTACTTGTTTGCTCTATTGAGCTCATTGACAGCATCCATGGATAGCGTATCCAGAAACTACGTATTCGAAGAGGTATTCGGACAAGATTATTTGTTATGTACAACAGTTTTAACTACCCATGCGGTGGAGAAACCAACCAGATGAACGTAAGGGGCAAACCATGTTAAAAAGGAACCATGATAACGACTATTTTTTTGTTTGCGAATGGAAACGCGACTGCGATGATCTACCTTGCATGTTCATTGTCTTCCTTCTGGCCTTACTACTCCGTACAGGACACGCTCTGCAACCTGTGCCATCCCTCCCCTCCGTACTATGTACCTGGTTGAAAGACCCTGGCTGTTCTGGTATCATCCTGGTTCCACGTCTTTCTACGATGTCGAGATCGCCTTCTGGAAGGCGATTAAATTCCTTTTAGCTTTTCTTTACCCTCCCTCCAACTTCCTTGCGGTCGCAGGGACTGTTGGTACCTTGGCTGTCAAGACCCTTCGGAATGAAGCTGAAACTCTGCCCAGGGTTTATCCCAGCCAGCTGCAACAGGATCAATTATGTGTAGTAGCACTGCGTTTGCTACCATTTGAAGCCATTTTGGCTCATCCTCCTCTTCTTTTTCCCTCCAAGGCGCTTCGTCCGCGATGATGCGTTTTAATTAAACCCAATACCAACCAGCCAGCAGCCAACATATGTCTTTCCCCCGCGGTGGTATGCATGTGTATGTTTCAATACGCATCTCGCCTGGGTGGGCCCCTTACTTCCATAGAAGGCTAACTACATACTCCGGGGAGAGAAACGCGGGGTTGAGGGGGCCTTAATAAAGAAGACATTCTTTGATCTTCTCTGGACCCTGCATTTGACTTGCTTTTTGTTCGTGACCCTACGCGCCCACGTGCAGTCGTGTACGGCGTGCGTACGAACATACGATCAGCGACAGTGATGGAAGATTGAATGAAAGAATACATGAGCATCCCTGTGCGGCAGCCTGAGATTGAGATTGACCCCCTTTTTTGTTTTATGTGTATGCACTGTGCATACGTCTATTCATCTACAGAGCATATATGGAGGCATATGTTGCACTGAAAAAATGCTAATACCCGGTTGCAGATGATACTGTCAAATGCAGATGCAAAAAATCTGTAAATAATATTTTCTCATACATCCGGGGGGGCGTATTTGCTGTTTTCGATTCTAGCCTAATCTCAAACCCCGGGTTAGGTTGTTGCTTTGTTTCTTCTATGCGCGGGTATATGAGCAATATCTAGCACCCGCAGTTATGGGATGCTAACATATAATTAACTACGGAGTAGCCGAGTCATATCTAAACCGTATCCCATATGCATTGTCATATGCTGTGCTACATTGAGATGCGTTCGTAACTCCATGAACCTCTGTTGGTTTCGTCTGTCGGAGAGCTCCGTCCATATCCCCACTTCTTCTGTTAATGCTATTCCCCACTGACTGTCATCTGATCTAGATAGACGGGCTGAGCATTATTCAGCCATGTGCTGGGAAATTTCTTTTCATACATTCCCTTTGGGAAATGAGATCGGGAGTTTTGAATCTGTTATCAGTGCAAAAGAAAAAGACAGGTTACATCGCCCTATTGTCCCGTTTCATACCTTTCAGAGTCAAGCAGTCAAGAAAATCGAACTAAGCGGCATTGACTGATAACCCGTCGGAAGTCCTTAGGTATTTCCACTTCTATAGTAAAACCGAGTCTACTCTTTTGGGGGGGGGTGGGGGGGGGTGGGGGGGACCCCCAAATTTCTCCCACTCCCACCATGCCCTCCAGAGCCCGTAAACTAGCTAATTCCCAACCTAAACTGAAGCCGAATGCTTAACATCCCACCCCGAAGAGGCACTTAATTACTTCTTATCCATACGGAGTAATCGAGGCCTGCCAAGTGTGGCCAATCTCTCTTCCGTTTGCTCCAACATGTGTGCAGTGTTTGCTGCTGCTGCTGCTGCTGCTGAAATCAATATCGTAATTACTCCATTTCAAATTGGGTTTGATAACTAGTTACTGAAGAGAGTGGGCGGATCCCTCTGATGTCTTCATCCTTTCACAATTAATTACAAGGTTGGGACTGAAGCAGCCTCCCATGTATTCTCAGCTGACCAGAGGAGGTGGTATTTCCCTAAATATCTCAAAAAGATGCTCCATGAAATGTAAAAAACGGTTACTCATTCATACATCATCTCGATATATCGTCATAGGTATTAATTCCTTTATATTACGTATCCGTATATTACTCCATACCGATTTTTTGGCGTTTCATGACCTGTATATTCTCTTACCCTGCACGAAAAAATTCCGGAGACATAGTTACGACAACAGGTCTCCGGCTCTCCTCCTCTTCCCCGGATTCCGAGCAAGAGGTTTGTTTGCTGAGAAAGTCTCCGCCCCTTATGCCGCCGAAGGGGTAGCGCACCAGGACAACAGCCACCTTGTTTGAAGGGGCTACAATTCGTCGTCAAATAAGGAAATACATACATAGACAATTGGAAGGTGACGATATAGGAAAATACAAAACATGGGTTACGCGGGTAAACGGACTTCCCCAAGGTACCAGGTACATTTTACGGCTGTTCACGGTCAATACCAGGATCACACACCCTGCACTGGCAATTGTTTAATCACGTCATCGTTAGCCGCCGGGGGAATGTGACAATGTATGTTCCTGATTGCAAGAATTGTTACTGTCTGAAGAATCAATTCAAATCATTCGTTGGTCTTTTCTTTTCTTTAAATATATATATATATATATATAATTCTCGGTTCTCTTGCAACTATAATTTATTCATGTATGATGCTACCCTCATCCGTTCGCATGAAGGCTGTAGAGTCATCACGCAATATTTGGAACTAGATGAAGGGCGAGAAGCCGAGGCCGTTAACAGTAACTGACTAACTAATTATTCGAAGGGGATGTTGTTAGTGGATACTGCGGCTGCCCTAATCATGTGCCTCCCCATATAACTCTATGTAGTTTACAGTTCGGCTAGCTGACTAGGTTATCCTCCATGAGAGGAACAACTCAATTAATAAGCAGGGCGCAAATGGCAAATAGGGGCGCGGTAAAGGAAACCTACGCATCCTTCGCGGAGGGTGTAGAATTGAGTTGGATGGCTGTGTATTCTCCATAATTCAGTGATCTATGGGTAAGTTATCTCACCATATGAAATATGATGATTTTTCTATTTTTGAACGGTTTTCTTTTGCCCCTCATCACGTACAGACAAAGCCTCAGCTTGATTGAACTCAAAAACTTACTATGTGCATTTTTCTCGTTTCTCTTCAACTGTTTTATTGGTTAAAGCTGTTGATGTCATGGGACGTTATGATTTTTTCTTTGTTGAAAGCGGAAAAGTGAGGGAAAAGAAAGGTTGTATACCTTTTCTTTCTGTCCCTATGATCACCAAATTGCGGCGGTAAATATCAAAATAGAATTGTCCCGTTTGTACTGCGGAAAGTTTCAATACAGACCGGCATATTTTCTCGGTTGTCTTTGTTTTGGCATCTAACTCTTCACGTTGTTTTATTCGCCTCCTTTTTCCAGTCGCGTATCTGATTTAATTCAGCGTAACTAACTAATAATGTGTTGGGTCTAGAGATTGGTTTTCCTTCATGCTGTATTGCAGAGCTCAGTCCCGTCCCGCAATGGCTTCGGACACACGTTCTCGGGGTTGAAGGAATCAACGATGACCATGCAAATGTTTGCGGCTCCGCTTTTAGACACTTAATTCTAATATTTAACGCTGTCATGACAGTACATAGCTTTCATACGGCCCTGAAAAACATGATTTTGGATGGAATGGGTCTGGGCCGTGATATCTCACCCAGGCACTGTGCTACAATGGCTGGTGTGAATGAGTGTTCATACGCAGGTACAGTATACATTTGCATTTCGGTACTCCGTACAGTATATCTTAATTACGTTTGTACTCAGGCATGGGTACACATCAATTGACAAGGTATGGTATTATTGTTTGATTGTCATGAGAGATTGATTTCCTGCTTCTCCTCTCTATTCCATCAGGTCTTAACTCAGGCCCAGGTTTTTATCTTATTGCATTCAAAGGGCGAGGGTGTTGTTTAGCAAGGATAACAAGGATAAATGATATTCAATTCGCCCTCTGTACGGAGCAGCTGTCAGCTGAGCAGTTTGCTACCTTTGAGATCTTCAGCCATCTCTCTTCGGCCAGCTAGTTTTGTATGCAAATCGTTGACAACTTGGCATCATCGTCATATTGTCGCTCTTTCATTTTGCTTCTCATTTTTTCTCCAAATTCCATCTCTATATGTGGATGACCAAGATCTAGGCTTTTCGGTGAAGTCGCCTGTCTCAAGTCACTTTTCTTTAGGCTGATGTTTTCTTTGTTTTGCATTTCCCCCTTGAATACCCTCACCTTTCCTCTTCTTAGCCTCACAAAGTGTGGCAAATAGGACCTGGGAGGCGGGGGCGATCATTGATCTACGATTTTATCAGGTACGGGCCTTCGGCATGCTGTATCATTCAGTGTCATGTGTGACCAGCTTGATTTCCATTTTTCGCCTGAATTTTAAGCGGTGGTTTGTTCTAGACATCGATTCCCTGCTTTTGCAAAGTCTTGCTCCTATCGATGCGTTACTTTTACCATTTTGCTCTTGAATAACTCGTTTCTCATTTCCTCGGATTTTCGTTTCCGAGGTTAGATCTCCCTGAAGAACTTGCTTGCAGTAGTGGCGTAGACAAGGTCGCTAGCTAAGCTAGTGACCTATCACTGTTGCTGAAATTCTTAAATTTGAGCGTTATCAACTTGGCTTGCTTCCGCAGATTATGGGAGTTCTGATTTGCTGACTTGTCTCGCCCACCTTCAAATCCGTCCAGGTTTTTATAATGTGCCCTGATTTTCAATTATTGGTCTTTGTATGTTGTTCCAAAATATGATCCAGATACCTCCTATCTACGCAACTCCGACCTGTTCGGAATGGTGGAAGCAGTTTTGAAACAAGAGAAGCTAACCAAATCGATGGCGAAATACTGGGCCATGTTCATACATTTCCAGTCTTTCAGTCAGTTCAATGTTGAATCGAGTTATCATATGCCATTTACTCCTCAGCCGCAAGGCTATCAAACGAGATAAACAGCTTTTCAGCTCCTCTTATCTCTTCAATTGAAAAACTGCTTTCACATGGCCTTCGTATTGAAATTCTTACCCCTGTTTCTGCCAACCTTTCATCATCAATACGAGATCATGTCCTACGAAAACCAGGATATATAGTCATATGGTGAAACGCTGATTCTAGACGTCAGAACGAGACACAAGATGATAAATGAGGGGGAAAAGGGGGTTCCAGTGTGCTACACAGATTCAACGTATTTGCATCTTGTGTTCTTTATTTCTGGTGTCGGCCTTTCGGCTATTGTTTGCTTCACTAGTTGGCTGTCCCGACTAAGTTGGGCCAGTCGAATGTAAAAACTAGATCTCGCGGAGAGTTGCAAGTTAGAGGGTGCTTCAGTGTTGGTCAAGCGTATTTATTGGGTATTATTTTCACTATCACGATGAAATTATGTTTAAAAATGCATCAGATATTGTGTAGGTGCATATGGGAAATACGTAAGGTGATGCAATTCTTTACCACGTGGCAGAGAAGGAATAGACAAGGCTATTCCCCTCCGGATACGAAAGGAATCACCATAGGCACGAGATCCAGTTTAGAGGGGCTGTTTGACGCACAGGACATGGGGGCTGGGGCTGTTCTCTGCCGGTAGCTAATATAGATTACAAATAGAGATAACAGATAGAAGAGAGAGTAAAAGATACATTACATCCTTTCATAGACGTGCAGTTTTTTGAAAGGAATTGTTGAAAATGCTAATACGAAATGCAAGAAACAGTATGAATTCCACAGGTATTAGGTGCTTGCACAAAAAATGCAGGAACTTGATAGGTATTAGCGCATCCCCGGAAACGATATAGCACAACGTGAGACAGAAGGCTGGATTTCATTCCTCGCCTAGGAACAGGAAAACGATGTAATCAACTAGGTCTAAGGAGTCCTGTGCAAAACTCCCTCGGTACCTCGATATCAGGGTACGTTGGTATTTACGAGGTATAATCTCCTCGAGTTACCCCTCTCCTTTCCCTGATACTATCTTTAGTCGATTTCTCTATAATGAAAAACAGATACATTAGATTCTCGGCAATTGAGTCGAGATGATGCGGTGGCTGCCTTAGCCCAACGCCCAGCTTAACCTTAGGTATGATCGCCTTCGTTAGGCCGGTTGCCAAGGGGGATCACTCTTCCTGGTAGTGATTAGAAATGAACATGAGAACTGGTTGGGCAAATTCAACTTTCTCTCAACCTTTTGATCCAACTAGGGTGTTGCTAAGTAAGAATACTGTTAGAGTGCATTATCCGTTATTTGATGCAGCCTAGTTACTTTATTTTGGTGGTTGCCAGCTGCCCGCTATTGATGAAACCGTTGTTTTGCCTGCTCAGTTCCAGATCTTCAATTCCCTGCCTATAACCTCAAATGTCCCATGCCTATATGAAACACATCATCCCTTACTCAACATCTCCAATTGCGTCTCAGATACGGACTGCCGAGATGTCTGAAAAAAAAATAAAAATAAAAATAAAAATAAAAATCACGGAAACTTTTCACGGCTTGCTTCTGATTTTAATGGAATGAAGATGCCCGGCATAAAGCATCCTCCGGTACCTGGGAACGGATCTGATGTGTGCCCTGCATTTTACTCATGCTATATGGTTGGATTTCTCGACCGATGGCAAAGAAAAAAAAGGGGAAGGAAACATATTTCCAACATATTTTCAAGCTCCTTGGCTAGCTAACTACTCCGTAAAAAGGATAGATAAAAGAAAAGTCGGCTTGTTGGATCTAGACCTCCCAACGACCGATAACGCCATGTGGTATCCTTGTTGGCATCTTTTCAAATTATTCGGTTTGATGAGGTTGGGCCTTATGTGGCGTTGCCAGCTGGCGGTTGTGAAGGATGGTGTAGTGTGTTTGGTGATGGGGAGTTCTTTTATTCCTTGATATATTTTGCATCTTTTGCATCTTTTGCATTCCTTTGCGTTTGTTGATTTTCTTCCGTTCCTGGTTGATCATCTGAAGAGGAAAATTTTTAGAGTTTTATCCCCCGTTTCCGCTTGAATATTTTGACGTATCTCCAAAAAAACACAAAAAGCGGAGTGATCTGCAACCTGAGGCAGCTCGGATTTCATGTGACATATTTCCCCTCCTTTCTTCAAGGTTGAGGTTGTTCATGGGGATTAATTTACATTAACTACTGCGGAGACAGAGTTTTATATCAAGCTCTTCACTCGCTTTGGATCCAATAATAATAATAATAATAATAATAATAATAATAATAATATAAGAGAATATCTCGAGAGTAGAGTATAGTAGTATACTGAGATGTTGTCAGAATGGAAGACATTTTGAGACCAAGTGATGTCACGATTTTTCGCCTTCCATGCGCATGATTCACATAATACCACTTAATTGCTTATGAAATTCGAGGTTGATAAACCTGGGTTACTATCTCTGATCTTGATTTGAAAAGCATAAGATTTTTGTGCAGTGGGAGGTATGCTTCTCTCACTGAACTTGCTCCTTTCTCTTGTCTGTGAATGTGTGAATAAGTGTATGTAGAGTTACCTTCATGTCATGAAGCTTTGAGATCCCAAGTGTCAGTTGAGACTTCAGGTTTTCATCTCAAGGACATCATCATCTGCCAATTCTTACCTAGGTAGATTCATATGTCATCTGCTATAGGCCTTTGGCAATGCATGAAAATTGGCGAGACGCGCAATCATCATACTGTTCTATTAGTACAGAAACTTGGTAGATTCGGTTACTCATACACAATAGGTAGACTGGTTAACAAGTAGGGCACCAAACTAGCAGGTTAGTCTGAGAATTCATGTTCTGAGAAAGGGTTAACTCTGACTATACATGAATTATTATATGTCGGATTCAAATGTATAAAAATAGATGATAACTAACCAGGATGTAACTTCATTTTTGCTTACAATATTACTCGTCGGTTACGTACAGTTCATAGAGCTCCCTTTTACGCTGTTGGGTGAGAGTGAGGCGTAGCCCTTACCTCCTCAAAAAACGAATTCGCATTCGAGCACAGAAAGCTATTTGGTTAAATTAGCAGTGAGGGGGGTGGGGATTTTCTGTTTTGGTCTCCGTCCTTTCTGTCGTGGTACGGAGAACATGGTTAAAAAAGGGTTTAGAGACGCAATTGGAAACATGGTTTTGTAAGATGACAGCTTGCTATAAGATGTTTTTTCTAGAAGCTGTTGATGTATTTCCAGATGAAACAGCAGAACAAGCTGTTAACTACCTATAGTTAATACCTGCCCTATGGAAAATGGAGAAGAAGTGCAAAGGGTGAATAGGTGTCGACATTTAACTATCCATTACTCATACGTAAACCTATAGTGATGAAGTGACTCCTGCTCTTGAAACTTACACATTATTTACTAAGTATAGTGAGGTACCTGTTTTTAATACAGAGCTGTATCACGCAAGGACTGTAATCAACTTTACATACCGAGTTACCTTGGAATCAACCTCTCCTTAAAAGGTATCTTTTCATTAATTGAGGTTTTTAACTACTCTGTAACCTTTCCAATACCCGGCTGCGTCTACTGTTGGCAGCGATCAGGGATCTTTAACAAAAATCCTCTCTCAAAAGCTCACTGCGACACAGCATCTCAAAAGAGGTCTGCATCTTATTATCCTGCCGCTAATCCAGATAATCCAGATGATCCGAATCAAGGAGTCGAAATATCCTGCGTCTCCCGTACCCCGCTGTCCGCCTTGAATGAGTTTTGTCCTACTTTGCGGCCTGGGAAACCCTTGAGAGACGTGCTCTTTCTCGACATACAATCACCAGGGCAATTCTAGAGACCTAGTTATTTTTCTATTCTCGGCATATGGTCATGGCAATCAAACTGGTTAACTATACAAGTTATACCTCCACCTGTTTGAGGAGGGATGACAAGCAATCAAGATGTTAGAGGAGTGAGCTAATGGTCCCCTCTTCTGGCTTCTTCACCGCTTCGAAGAATAATGACTCAGACATGCAATGATGTGTTGGACCTCTGTAATTCCCCGCAATGCCTGTCGGACTCCACCGATTTAAGGGAAGGGGAATGACATATGTGCAGGGAGGAGGGAATATATATATATAAGGGCTGCTGATAATCGTCACAATCTTGTTTTGTCGGGTCGGGTCCTTGTTCTGACAGCCGATGATGGTTTCGTTGCTTGTGAAGATTAAGAGCAATGTTTTTCGTTTCACAACAGCAGAGGTTGGTTATTTTTGGTTCCTCTGGAACAATTTTGGAGGAGTGATGACTCTGCTGCATCTGTGGAGAACTCCCGTATTGCTGGGGACAAGGTTAGTCGGGAGTTTCAGCCGCTGGGAGCTGGCTGGTGTAAATAAGGGGGGGTTTCTTTAAAAGGGGACAGAAAGAAGTCATTGTCTGTTCTTTTTGCGCCAACAAGACCCACACTATGTGGAGAGCGAGTGGCGTATTCTGGAAATACGAGTAAGAATGAATAATCTGGAGAAACTACGGAGTAACTACGGAGTAACTAGGTAGTTAATGTAGAGAGTACTTAGGTTGAATCAACCTCGGTATCAATACATAAAATAAGACCCGTTTGACAACAGCCCTTTTAGCACATAAGGGGATGAATGGGATGAGTGGGATGACACGCTCTCCAATTATACCCTCTGTGCTGCGCTCTCTGCTTGCACCGCTCCTTGGGCTGTAGCCTGCCGAGTCTTCTACCGCCTATCGGGGTTGCGCATGGTAACTAACTAGTAAGTTGGTATCATTCCAGGCGGGCGTGGGATTTGGCGTGTTCACGTGGTTGACTGGTCTCATCGAGCAGCTTCCCTCTTCTCGCCCTTCGCCTTTTCGCCGCTGGGTCCCGACCGCCTGGCATCATCATCATCATCATCATCATCAGCAGCAGCAGCAGCAGCAACAGCAGCAGCAACAGCCCCCAGCTGGCATCCCCCTAGCTGTCTCTTGCGTTGGCCCTTCGCTGTTCGGCCGCTGGCTAGTCACCGGACTTGTCTGCAGGGCCACCGCCAACGCGCCCCAGGGCCGCTGTTCGTTGATTTGTTTGCTCCCAACAAATTACAGACCCCTCCTCCAGTCACCGAGTGAATGTTCCTGGCCACGGAGGCGCTGCGGACTCTACTGGACTGGGCTCTATCTATTGTTGTTGGCTTTTGATGTTGGCTGTCCTTGCTTGCAGGATAGGCAATTGATGATCCGGCTGAAATCACGAGGAGATCGTGGTCTCTGGATAATCAGCCACGATTTAGTTGCATCGTCGCTGTCTGTGCGAGTTTCCATTGCTCTCGTTCGTCGATTATTAGACAAGAGTCGCATTTGCAAGGCAGATCGGCGGCCTCTACTGCACGGCATATATCCCCACTGCTGCATGTCCTCAACTTGTACTGCGTTGAGACACTCGGCGCCTAGCAGACGGATCTCGATCACCAAGGTAGGTCATTCGAGCGAAAACAACGGCTAGAAAAGAAAGCCAGCATGAGGATAAATCGGATGGCGAAGAAGAGCTGTCTGAGTTGGCGATTTTGATGGCACATCCCCTTCGCGTTTTCTTATCTCTTTACCCTGTTATTAGTTAGTTACCCGCCCGCCTTGCCAATATTTTCTGGCCACCCCACCAACCACCCCCCCCGAACAAGCTTGCAGTTACATGCTTGTCCTTTGACATCTAAACGGGCCGTTGTGGCTGGATGGATACTCCCGCCTATAGCATGCCGGACTTGATACACACCCCTCCCTTTCATCATTCATTCCAAGGTTATTTAATATTGATTTAAATTTAACCTTCTTTGGAGAACACACGCCCCCTTATCTGCATTTGATGGCCAAATACAATGCAAGGCTAGGCGCTCTTTTCCTCTTTCCTCTCTTTCCACCCCACCCAGTCACTCTGTGCTCTCTCTGCGCTGGTTGGGTCCCTGCGGTTTGATGCACTCTTTCACTGTCGCCCATCTCGGCATAACCTGGGTCACACGCTCACTTGGTACTCTTTTTTTAGCATAGGACAACCGCCTCCCGTGAGCGCTGCGTTGGCAAGCGTTCAGCCTCATCTCACCCAGATGGATACACGACCGCCTACAGCCAGCGGTCTCCCAGATCGCAAATCGGCCAGGTGCCGGTTCTTTGGGTCTAGAAATGGTATGTCCATTGACTGTTTCTTGCGTGATTTCTTGATGTTGATTGATTGACTTGACTCTGTACTTTGCTGTACCCTCCTCCCTATCATGTCTCATTACAATACCCAGTTCGTTTTTCTATTACATCGTTTTGGAATTTCATGATACCTGCTTGCTGACAGTACTTATTCACTTACATTACTTAACTGTCACCATTTTCCTCTTCCCACCCCACCCCCCGGTTTGGTTTTTCGTTTCCTCATTCTATTGTTGATGTCTTGACTTTCTCTTTACTCCACCGCCTTTTGTTTTTCAATGCTGACATCAGGAAGGGTGTCGGGCTGGCAACGATTGCCCTTATGCTCATGTTGTACCATCTGCTGGCCCTGTGGCCGCTTCGTTAGAACGCTTAACATCTTCTGTACAGGTCAATGATCCACGGCCAAGCACCCAGCAGATTAATGAAACTATGCCGTTCGTGGGAAGAAATGAGGATGAATCAACTTCATCCTCAGCTCAAACGTTCAGTTCCCGGCCCCAGCGTACCACGGACACCTTGTCCCAACCTGTGCAGCGGCCAATCCCGCGTGCTCAGCTTGAGAACCCTAGAGAGTTCCAGATAAACCAAATTAGGCGTCGTTTTCATCCGGAAGAGCGATCTAATGGAGAGGGAACGCATCTGATGTTTGAGATGCATCCGTCGGATCCAGATTTCACTTTTAGCTTGAACAGCTTGACATGTGCAATGCATGTTCCTCTGGGATACCCATCTCAAGGGACGCCGTCCCTGGATATTTTGAACAAAGACATAGATGCGAAGTACAAGATGCTTATTCAGCAAGAGTTCGAAAACATTACCAAGACTCGTATTTCGGACACTCTCCTAACATGGATGAATGTCCTGGACAGATCGCTGACAAAAGTATTCTTTACACCGCATCCAAGGGCTGGGCCGGCACCACCTTGTCCTTCGTACAAAGGACAGGGTTCATCTTTTTCTCTGAATAACCAAGAGACAACAATGATCCAAGAGAAGGAGAAGGCTCGCCAACGTCGAAAGAGAGAGATCACACAGCTTACTTCTCGCCTGGGCAGGGTGCCTCTGTTTTCAGAATCTGCGGATGGTGTCTCCTTTACCATCCCAGTTAATCCGCTTAAGCCACAGTTACTTCCCCCGTCTCTTAAGTCCGTTAAAAAGATTGATATGACTGTCCCATTGTTATACCCGCTAGAACCTTGTCACATCAAGTTTCCTGACATTGATGACAACTCAGCCAGAGCAACGGAGGCATCGTTTGAGAAGCATGTCATAGGTAACCCAGGCGCGAGCTTGACATCGCATATTAACTACCTGTCCACAATGCTACATTCTCTAGCAACACAGCCAGTTGAAGATACTGTTACATCTTTAACCCTGAATGATAAATACGAAACTGAAATAGGAACGCCGTCATCCTCGACTTTGCCTCCTGACCAATCTCATCTCACAGAGGCAAGCACTACGATAGATGTTCCTGATCGGCCCCATATTCAGGTCATTCCTAGGCCACCTGAATGGATATTGCCCAAACAAGGTGACGAGTTTGATAGTGATAGTGATGAATCTGATTACTCTGAACAAGAAGAAAGTGTTACTGATGAAGATAATGATGAAAATGGTGGTGTCAGTGTTCCACCAATGCTGCCGCTTCCTACGGGGCGGGATGTGGCGTTGTCATTTCCATCAATGGAACTTCTGGGAATTGAACTTCTCGAGTTGAAAACCCTACATTTAACGCTCAAGTGTGAGCGGTGCAAGGAGTTTGTGGACATTAAAAACATTAAAATTGGAGAAGATGGGTTGAGTGTTCCTCCAAAAAGGGTCGAGTCATGCAAGAAGTGCGGTAACAATATTAGTATCGGTAAGTCCAAGACCTTGGGGAAAAGGCTGCTTGTGACTCTCCTATGGCGATTAAGAAGTGTTGCCTAAGTCTTTGTTAACTCCTGGAATTTGACTAACTAGGCTTTCGCCGCGAGTTAATGCACCCCAGCTCTAACCGTGCGGGGTATCTTGATCTTGAGGGATGTCTTGTCGTTGAACTGCTTCCTAGGTATGTACATACTGTACCAGCCCCCCGTTAGACATATTAAAGAATCAAGCCGCAGCTCGACACGTCACGATATATACAACCATCTTGGGACGACAATAGAGTTTGCCATTGCTCACAGTTATTTTGATTTGTAGTAATTTTATGCCGACATGCTCCGAATGCTCGACCACCTATCCCGCACCAGGAATTGTTGCAGTTCGTGGAGATGATGCGTCGGCAATATGTCGTGGATGTCACCATAAGATGAGTATGTTTATATACGAGCAAGAAAAAGGTTTCCGACAATACGGGATTTAAATCCGTGTCTTCCCTAGATATCAGATATCAGGGCGACAAGCAATGTTGACAACCTCTTTTTTCTACAGGGTTCAAAATTCCCGAGGTCAAATTCTTGCTTGTGAGCGCTGGAGCAGGTAAGTTGACAGTTATAATTTGTCAGATGGTAATGCTTTTTCACTCTCGATTTTATTTTGCATAAATAATGCTTGGTTCCGAAAACAATATCTTTGTGCGAGTGTGGCTGTCCCTTGCACAACTACCCATCTTTCGGCATTTGGCGAGAATAGCTGGGATGATATTCTAATATCAGGTCCTCCTGTTTATTCTCTTTCGTGTCACGTTTTGCTTGGACTATTCACTTCTCTCCTATTTTGTACATTTTGCATCTGATGTCGGACTTGACTTACAGAGTTCACATTGTCTCTTTTTCCTAGTTTCAGCTCAACCTCGGGATCACAGCCTTGAATTTATTCGGGTGCATGCATGGGGTCTACGTAATTTGAGTGAATTTCCATGATTCCCCCCTTTTCTTTTCTTCTTCCTTTGTTGCCATGGGCGTCATAATGCTCATGAGGGACTACATTTGGGCTAACTGGTCGTTCAATTTGTACCAGGTACCTCTCAGACTCATGTCCGGATGAGAAAGGTTGTAGTTCTTTTCAAAAACTCCCTTCAGGCCGTTTTAGGTTTTTCAAATCCATCGATAAGTTGTGTTTAGATCTCCGCCATAATTGGAATCGATGTCCTTTTCTGGCATACTCTTATTTACACGGTCATATTAAGTTCCTGTCACTTTACTAACATGAGTTTTGTTATTTTTAAAGCCGAAAGAGAAGCTGGGGATTGTTGCTGGACAGGAGTTACCCTGTCGTGGCCGATGTTCCCATTATGGGAAGAGTTATCGATGGTTTAGGTATGTGGATAACCATCCGGATTTTACCCTGTACACGATGCAAGCCCATGATTACCCAGCGCAGCATGGTTTCTACCGAGCATGCTTTTACGCCGCTACGTCCTTGATGTCTAGAACCCCCAGCACCTTAATTAGACAGCCATTTTCGTCTTAACGCATTAAAGGATTTGAAAGGCTAATAATTGTTGTCCATAGGTTTTCCTGTTGTCTCAAGGTTTTTCCATGCGATAGGTAAGTGACAAATTCTTTTTGAAAAGGACTTGGCCGGAAGACAATAGAGCTAACATACACTCATAGATGTCATGATGCCGCCTCTGATCATCCAAACGAGCACGCCAACCGTATGATATGGTAAGCTGAACTTCTACAATTTCCATGCTTCATCTTCATATATATATATACCAACCAATTCCTATATGATGCGCTCCGCATGGCGTTTTCAATTGACTTACCTACTTTTCTCTCTGTGTAGCGGATTCTGCTCCCGCGAACAAACATACCATCCTGAGAGCTGTGGCATCTGTCACTCCACTCTCATCGGCAAGGCTGGCAGTGGCTTCTGGGAAGGGGGTAAAGGGACGAGAGATAAGACGAAGATGAGTAGGAAAGGTGTGTATATGCGTATATTTCGTCTCCTTCTTTTGATGAAAAGATTGTTTATATCCTCTTTTTGCATCTATCCATGTTTCCCCTCGCTGACTGCAACAGATCCGAGGAAATATAAACGAAGGGGTGGGACAACGCCGGGGACTTCTGCGCAGAAAAAGTGAAGTATGTAGGGCCAAACGGATAGGACACGTATATATTATTCCGTATATGAATTCCACGATGTGTATGTGTATAGGAACCATTACCATGTATATATTATTAGTTTATTTTGACTATAAGTTTAGACGACTTCGATTCTTTCTCAAATTCAATATGAATTACGCTTCACATTCCGCAGAAACTGACACATTTCCATTGCTGCTCTAGTTCGCATGTTATGGTTATTAGGACGTTATATTTGGATTTGACCTTTCGAAATATATTGTTCCTGATCTTAATTTTACATAGTTAGCCTATCATACGTGAGAAGCAACTGCGAGAAATATTTGTCATTTCAGTGAGTATTGTTTGGGAAAGGGAAGAGAGATAACCGCATCTTCTGAGGTAGAGGAGGGGTGTTCCTGATCGAATATGAATCCGGGTAGTCAGACTTACGGAAAGGATGAAAAGCACGCATGAGCTTTCAAGCAGCACTGCGCTTCTAAATTTCATGGGGACAGAGGGGGCAAAAAAAGGGAGAAGTAGCAGAAGGAAAAGATTTGAAATGGGATGAAAGCCCAGCCTATCTACAACTGACTGACTTCATGGACTCCCCTGAGGTTTTTTTCCCAGCTATTCCTTATTCCATAGTTTAAAATAAATTAAAGAGACATTGTTTTGCAACCAGTAGTATGCAATTTTCAAGCATCTCAAGGCGAAAATGTGAGGGGTAGTTATATCTGGAATGACATGGTTTCATATCTGTCGATGACATGCAAATCAGTTGTAACATAGCAGCAAGCAGCGCTCATTACATCCATGGATGTCAAATTGAGAGAGACTTCAAAGAAATCCCATTCAGCATAGCACATCCAATAAGTTAAACATGTTGCGAAGTTTAATTCTATGCCAGGACTCTGTTGCTTGTCTCTTGAAGCTCTCAGGGGTAGTCCATATATAAATGACAGTCGCCACTCGGAGAACCAAGATGATTGATTTATGACGCAAAGGATAAAAGTGACTGAATTGGCATGTAGGTAGTTAGTTATATTAGCATAACATTTTGGCATTGCATTATACAAATTTCATGCAAGCTGGGGCCAGTTGAATGCATGTTGAATTAGAGATTGAAGTTGTCAAGAAGATCTCCGAAGGTGTTTTGAGGTTGGAATTTTATCTCAAGTTCCTCAGATAATGATACTTAATCGTTTTGCAATTCAAAATTCAACTTTTGAGATCTAGCACAAAATAAGAGAAATCAATTAAAGCCTTTGGTTGAACTGCCTTTCTATCTTCATCATTCTATGAAGTATTTTCTTTAAAAAAAACACGACCCTTTTCTTGCCGACAAATAATGAGATGAAATCTCCTTTTTTAGAGATATTTCTTCTTGAAAGCCTTTTTTCTCATAGAATTGACGTAAATAACTGTCAGGGGTCGAAGTCACCTGACGCTAAGACAAGAACGGGCTGGAAATGGAATCTCCGCGGTCCACGATGACTTATCTCAACAGGTGGTGATATTGATGGCTTTTGAAACAGCTCATATTAGATATCGCCGGCAAAATGTCTTATGCACTGGCTACGAAGAAGCGCAAATTCCACAGGGTCCTCGATTCGTTATCCGGTGCCAACGCTCAGAAACCTCCCCATGCAGATTCTTCAGTTTCAACAACAAATGACAATGTCCCGCCAACAGCACCGTTGTCCGCCGAAATAAAATATCCAACTATCAAAAAGGTACGGCTGGCGTCGTCGAGCTCCGTACCTGACTCAGAAAATATGATCGTCAGGAAGTCCGTGTCTAATATATCCAGACATTTGTCGCCGTCATCATCGCTGTCGCAACATCGGCCAAACTTCGTCCCTTGGGATCGGGAGCGGTTTCTCGAGCGGCTTGAAACGTTCCGTAGGGTTGATCGGTGGTCTCCAAAGCCAGCGCCTATAAATGAGGTTCAATGGGCTAAGCGTGGGTGGTCTTGCGTGGATGTTATGAGGGTGGAGTGTGTTGGCGGCTGTGGCTGTTCTGTTGTTGTGAAACTGCCGGAGGATGTGGATGTGGATGGGGACGAAGATGATGATGATAAGTTTATAGAGCGGAGGGAAGTTCGTACGTGTTTCCCCGTCCCCCATACACCGTTAGATTTCCCACTACATGAACTTTCACTGAACTACCTACAATAGAGGCTAGACTGGTGGAGGAATATTCTAAACGGATAACAGATGGCCACGCAGAACGGTGTCCATGGCGGAAAAGTGGTTGTGATGGTGAGTTTTTTTGCCCTTAAATGAAGGAAGGAAAGACATTCAACTCAAGATATACTAACCATTTTGCATTTAGACACTATCCAACGGTTAACACTTACGAACCCAGAGACTGCTGTAAAGAGCTTACAGAAGCGCTACATGAATCTTATCTTCCTTGAATCGAAATTGCCTCCCATGGAAAATATCGCAAAGCCAGACGGACTAGATATGGATGATATTGCCAAGATGTTGCCTCCTACTTTTCTAAGTTCTACCCAGCAGGATGAAACTGGGGAAACTACCCAAGCCCGACCCGAACAGCCCGCCGATGCGCAAGGTAACCAAGACGGAGGATTACCTCAGGTTAGAGATAAGATCAGTACGGTAGCGCTTGTACTTGCAATTTTTGGATGGGATGCGTCGGATGAGGCTGGTGCTGATTTGGCAAGCTGCAGAGCCTGCTTTCGTCGACTTGGACTGTGGATGTATAAGCCAAAGGAAGACGGGAGTATACCTGTGTACGACAAGCTAGATGTTGTCAGTGAACATATGGATTACTGCCCATGGATCAATTCGAAAACGCAGAGTGGAGGCCGGAAACCTGTCTTTCATGGGCCCAGCGGGAAACCTCAGAGTGGTTGGGAAATCGTAGACCAGGCGATCAAGACGATGCATCGTCGACGAACGAGATGCGACGCCCCATCGACTGGCCAGGGTACCCATTCTAACCCTGAGCCAGCGAACGTTGACGATGAAGGTGAATCGCGGCAACTGCGGGACAGAGAGTGGTGGGCTAAATTGCGGAGAGTGAGACAGTCTCTTCTAGTGAAGGGACCTAAAAAGCCGAAGTAGAATAAGCTGCTGGGTATTGAAGAATTTATACCGCCATTACGGTGTTATTTTGGTTATTTTGGTTTTTTTTTTTTTTTTTTTTTTTTTTTTTTTTTTTTTTGATATTCTAAGTGAGATTCGCGTTACGCATATTTATTTGATGATTCTGATTTATTCCCAGACATGTATCCTATACCAATCTTGTTTAATTAGCATTTAGCATTTACATTCCAATTGAATTGTCATCATCCTTTGTGTTGTTTCAAGTTGTTTGTCCTCCCTTGTTCTTTCCTTTTTAACAAAATCACCGTATAGTAATTAGATAAATTTTAACCAGAAATATCTACGCTCAATAACCCCTCATTAAATTGGATTAAATTACACTAGGCTCACGGCATCTTATTCTTGTATGCCTGAGCGTCCCGCAATTGCTGCATCTCTGTGGTGCTCGTATGCGTGGTCTAGATTCTGCTGGCGGAGGCGCGGGGGGTTGAAGGACAGAGAGTCCAGCAAACAGACTCAGCATGTGAAATAACTAGATCCTGAACTTCCTCTCTAGTTAAACCTCCTTCTTGTTGGATTCTGCGGGTAGACCTCTTGCGTTTTTGCTTCTCTTTCTCATTTGCAGCAAGTATATCCTGATATTGCTTCTTCATAATAATAGTGTTGACAATTCCGTATTCACAGGCCTTGATAATTTTATCTAGACCTTTCACCAACCCCCTGGTGGGGGCTCCCAACGCCTGGTACCATCAGATTCTTGATCTTATTCCACTGCTTATGCAATTGCCGTGGGTTATAACGTGTTTGTAGGATCCAGGATGACTGAGAGTCGCTAGATGGACTTCCTGTGGGGGTAGGGGTTCGAGGTTGAATATCCAACTGCTGGATGACCTGGTAAAGTTCAAATGGTGCTATTCCAGTAGCTGCAAAGCCACTTTGAATGTTCTGAACCTTGAAAGCTTCCATATGTGCTTTAGGATAAGCATCTAAAAAATCTGCCTTGTTGATGGTATTGAACCCAAGCCGCATTCACTGTTCAACTAGACCCCCGTACACTCACTTTAAAACTGCAAAAACACTCACATCTAATGGCTGCAAGAGATGTGACGGAGGTGCTGGCATGCAGAGAGGAATAAACCTATCCCCCTTGCAAATATGGTCAAATTCTGGGGTAAGATGACCGCCGTGCCAGTCCAAAATAAGGAGGTGGGTCCCAATCCTGCGTGGATTTGCAGCAGGAATAAACAGTTTAGTAAGTCATTTAAGTCCTATCTCATCTGTAGTTCAGTCATTGGGACTAACATCAAGCCTCCAGCCATCAGGAAGCCTGTCAAACCAGCCTTCCTGTAGATTCTGACCCTTGAGAATCACATACGAGGGTAGGGCCCAGCCTGACGCGTTGACTGCCTCAATCACAGTCACACATTCTCGATGTCCTGGTTGTAGAAGCTTTGCCCGGCCGTAGCGCTCAGCTCTGGTAATGACCTTGATAGTTGCACAGGGCCCCATTGCAAATCCAGTCTCGTCAAAGTTGTAGATATCTTCAGCTTGAACCTCATGCTCAGCAATTGCATCCCCCAGAGTCTTAAACCAATCCTGAATAACTTTTATATTCTCGCAATTTTGCTCGCTCATGATTATAGCATCTGGAATAGCAGCATTGAAGCTCCATACGTCATTTAATCAGCTTATAGACCCAGTTCTTGCCAACGCGGGGAGGGGTAGATGTGGAATGCCGTAGGGTAAGAAGATGATTAGCCATATTCTCAACAAATGCCAGCCGGGGGGGGCATTCCTCGTTTGCTAGGTCAAGAATCCACTGAACTAGCAGATTCTCTTCAGCTTCAGTTAATTTAACTGAATTTGCGCGTAAATTCACCCTTGCAAGCCTGCCCTTAAGTCGATCCTGCAGAGTAGTACGAGGCACCTCATATAGGCGTGCAGCTTCATGAATTGAGGTTATTTCATGCTTTTTAATAGCATTTATCACGAGTTCAAGTCTTCTCTCTATCTCTATAGAGTTTCTAGCATCTTTACGACGAATTGGTGGCATAATTGCGCGTTGAAGCGGTTTAATTAGGAAATTTAAAATATTTTGAATTTGGAGGCCGACTCGGTGATGTGGCCGGGCTCGGGGTGAATTACATTAGTTAGTCTAGCAAGGGTTTGTTGGAGGATTCCCCGTCTACCCGAGGTCACGTGCACCTATATATATTTATTAGTTATGATCAATCTACATTCAAGTGGAATGCCAGATTTGACAGAAAAATAAGTGTCAAAAAGAAGGTAAAACTAAGAATTTGAGAATAAAGCCCTGGAGAATAGAACTTCAGAGCTCACAGATTCACTGCTTACACTTATTACAGTTCATAGAAGTTTTTTTGAAGTGTTTGAAATAGACAAGATGATTTTGAAGAAATCAAATAAGTTTAATAATATATATAAAGATTTGATTGACAAAATGTCAGAGAATATAAATGATTCTAATAACCAGATATTAAAAGTTAGTAAAGAAACTCTGATAAGATTAGAGATTGTAAAACTTCAGTAAGAAGTTAAAAGAATAAGAGCTAGCAGAAAAACACTTACTATCAATACTAGTGATAATGAAATAAGTGAAAATCTTATAAATTATTTACAGAAAAAAGATAAAATTACTATTAGAATGAAGATCTTGACTGAATTTAAAGATTAAATAAAATATATTAAGAAATTTATCATTTTGACTGATTCTGTAAACTATTCAATGTGAAAAAAAAAAGATTCTACTAATTGCTAAGCAATCTGAAATTGATGATATTCTCAATGAGAAGTAATCTATTTCTGAGAATGATATTAGTATAAATATATAATATTTTTAAACTGAAAGAAATATATGATTTTATAATTATATATAATTTATAATCTCATCTGCAGTAGATCTTATTTTATAATATTATCAAATTATTAGTTATCAGTATATATTCTATAAATAATTATAGAAAAAAATTTCTTAGAAAGATTTACAATTTATCATACTTATCTTTTTGAGAAGCTGATTAGCTTGATAGCTAAGTCAAAAAACTCAGATAAAGTATTTTTAGAATATTTGATCATCATTCAGACTGAATATACTTATTTGAAATATAAAATTGAAGATTTTATACTTTTAACTATTTGTTAACTGATATTAGTACTGAATAAACATCATTTATTAGAGATAAAATAAATTATATTGAAAAAGATATCAATATCTATAATATTGAAATAGATTTTATGAAATTATATCAAGATATTCTATTATATCTATCAGTCATTAAATAGAATACTACTGTGATAAATATAAAAAATTTCACAAATAATACTTAACATTCATAAAAAAAAGAATAAGAGTAAAAATAAAAATTTGAAAATTAAAGACAAAGATAAAGATAAGAAGTTTAAGCAAAATAGTAATAATTAAAAAAAAATAAGCTATTATTATCAAAAAACAGAATATATTAAAACTAATTATTGAATAAAATATTTAAAAAAATACTCTACAAATCATAAAGAGAAGAATAAAAATAAAAATAAAAATATAAAAAAGAATAAAAATAAGAATATTAATAATACTATTTTAGTTCATAGTATTATGAAGTAAGTATTATATATTAAAAAGATAGTATATTTCAGTGATAAAATGATAAAAAATATCTGAGTTCTAGACTTTAGATTAAAAGCTCAAATTATATCTTTGAAGAATATTATTAAAATTACATCTCAAAGAATGAATTTTATATTGAAGATAATGAATGAATCTACAGTCTCAGTAGCAAATGTAGAGAAAGTATGCATCTCAACTGAGAAATTAAATATTCAATTGAATAATATTCATTATATCTTAAAGCTAGAAATTAATTTAATAAGCTTTAGCAAACCTATATATAAAAATTATATTTTCAAACAATTGATATATAATAATAATTATTCAATTTTAATAATATCTTCTAACAGAATAATAAATTTTACAGTATATTTAAATAAAAAAAATATTTATATTATAGAAAAATTATCAATATTAATAGATTTAATTTATTTTGCAATGTTAAATAGTAATTTTGAACTTACATATATCTTACAATTAAATAATAAATCTTTAATAAAGCTGCTCAAGAGCAATATTAAGATTTTAAATTATATAATATCACAGTAATATCAAAAGCTGAATCATTTAAACTCAATAAATATATCAAGAATGATTGTAAATTTTAGACTAGAAATGTAATTAATAGATTAAAGAACTTTATTATTCTGTAAGATATGTATGTAAATAAAAATCATTTATCTGTTTTTTGTTATAATAATCATAGTTGTTAAACTAATAATAAGATTTTTTGTGAATTTACAGATGAGAGTAAAATATTATATGATAAAAATAATTTACTTACTGAAAAAGACGTAAGAAATTAAATAAGAATTACAGATAATATCATCTGCTTTAGATGAATTATTTTAATTATTATAAAAGCAGAGACTGTGATGGTATAGAACAGGCTTTATAGTCTTCTCAATAGTATAAAACTGAGGCAACAGTAATTGCAATTATATAAATATGATAATCATAAATTGTCTAGGTATTAGCATAGCAATCAACCCCACAATTACCCTATATATGAATAATATGTAAATATAACAATCATATAACAACTGTGCTAAAGAAAGAACTATATAGTATTCACTTAGATAGCTTATCTAGTTGATAATTAAATACTTGTTCATCTGCATCTAAATTGAAGCTGTGATATAATACTAAGATTAATAACTTTCTTACTCTTTTTAAAGTAGATTTTTTAGATAAAAAACCTTTAAAAATCTTTATTAACTTTTGTTTTAAATCTTTGAGAATACTGTTAAGATGTTAGAAGTAGTTAAAGAGTCTAACTATTTATGAAGATCAGACTAAGATATAATAACTTTGACTGAAAGAAATATGAGACCAAGAAATCTTATATTAAAGGAATAATTTATTGTGTCAATTGAAGAGAATTCAGATCAAATATATCAAGAGATTACTGATCTCATGAATAAAGTAAAAGATATTTTAGAAAGAATTAAAGTAGAATAAAATAAGAAGAGAAAGCAAATGAGTAAACTTAATCAGCAAGTAAACAGCTTGATAGAGGAATAAAATTCCTTACAGCAGACTATAAACTTTTTAACCTTTCAAATCAGACTGATGAACACTTAATAAATATAATAATTAATCAAATTTGATAACTCTAAGTACCTTACTAATGAAAAAGAATTGATATTTAAAAACTGACTTTCTCAAATAAAATACAAGCTAGTTATCTATATAGATCACTTTCTAACTAAGAAAAGCTATATTATCTATATTGAAAACTGAACTGAGAAAGAAGTTGCCAGATAATTAGCTTTAAAAATAAAGAAATATTATTCTAAGAAGTTTAAAATAGTTAAAAAAGTATTTAAATACCTACAAAAAATATATAAGAATGTTAATAAAATTGAGAATGCAAAGATAGAATACTGACAACTGATAATGAAAAATAAAGATAACTATCATATATTTATAACTAAGTTCTTATATCTGATAGATGAAGCTCAAGTCTATAAGAAAGATTATAAAGTAGATTTTCTTTATAAAATCTTCTTTAATCTTCAATACATGATTATAGCTATCTGCATCAATTGCAATATTTTTCATGAAGTTCAAAACATCTGCACCTGAACTGCTCATTATTTTAAAAGCATATTTAGTTAAAACAACTGATAACTACTCAGCTGTAAAGAGACTCTGATGATCTAAATCAACTGTAAAGAAACTCTAATAATCTAAATCAGCTATAAATAAACTTTAATTATATTAATATAAATAACTGAGAATAAATTAAAGAATAAAGATTAAAAAAAAAATATAAAATGCTTTAATTGTTAAAGCAAATATCATATAGTATAATATTACTAACACAAGTAAAAAATAGAATTGAAGAAAGTAAATATTAAACTTGCTATTATTGAGTCAGAAAAAAATTAAGTCTGAAAGAAGTCTTTTTCTTAGATAAAATAGTTGCATTAGAAACTTTGAATATAAATCAGTTAATGAGCAGAAATTTTTTTATTGTATATATCAAAGTAGCTTTTAATGAATATACTTTTTCTATAAAAGCACTAGTAGATTTTAAAGCAAATTGCTATATTTTTATTAATACAAGTTTTGTACACAGATATATCAAAGCCTTAGAGACAAATTTCAAGAAGCTGAAGAAGAATTATTAGATTATAAAATTTAATGATCAGAGAGAAACTTCAATCACAGAAGTCATCTCATTATATTTATGAGTAAATAGATAAATATTTCTCAATATAGTGATACTAATAATAGATTTAAGAAGTACTAATATAATTCTAAAATAATTTTAAATAATAAAGCAAGAGATTTAACTAGATATGAAAAATTAATATTTAGTATAATCAAATGCATAAATATCTGCAAATAACATATTAGAAGAAAATAATATAATAATTTTAAAAAAGATTCTAAAAAGATTAATAATAAAATCAGAGTATTAATAAGATGCAGATTGTCACAACAGACTTATTAATAAGAAATTTAATTAAAAGGTCACAGAAAAGCTTATAAGAGCTCAATGAAGAAATGAATCAAACAAGCAGTAAAAAATAACATTCATTGAGAGAGTGATCTTTTATCATTATAAAAGAAGCAAGAAGTCAGAAGTTTTTATTTCAAGTCTCTGTGAAATAGATAAAATCATTAAGAAGAAGAAGATTATTTTTTATGCAAAAATGAAAAATAAAGAGATAGTTAATGAACAGCTGTCAGAGAACTATAAGAAATTTTATAATATTTTTTCAAAGATAGTTTCTAATTAATTATAATTTTTTTAAAAGAAATTGAATTATAAGATTGAGCTTATAAAGAGAGCAGATATAAATAAAGCTATCAGCCATATATTATTATACTAAATAAGTTTGAAAGAGCTTGAGACAGTCAAATAGTATTTTGAGGCTAATATAAAGAAGAGTTTTATTTTATTAGCGGTTTTCTTCTTTGTATTTTCAATTCTTATAACTCATATAACAGGCAAGCTGAGATTCTGTATAAATTACTATCAACTTAATATGATCTTGAAGAAAGATTGATATGTGATTTCACTAGTTAATGAGCTTATACAGCAGTTAAATAAAGTCAAATTTTTTATTAAATTGAATATTTATCAAGGTTTTTATTAAATATATATGTACTCTGAGACTGAGAATTTAATAGTCTTTAGAATATATTATAAAATTTATAAATATAAGATTATACTCTTTGATCTAAGCAATAACTCAATAATCTTTTAGCACTTTGTGAATACTATCTTCTTTGACTATTTGAATTTGTTCATGATTGCTTTCATAAATGACCTACTGATCTATAGTAAAATCTTAAAAAAATATAAAAAGCATATTAAGAAAATGTTAATTAGATTGCAAGAAGCTGAACTACAGATAAGCATCTCAAAATATAAGTTTCATATTCAACAGATAAAATATTTAGATTTTATTTATCACTAATCAAGAGATCAAAGTGAACTTAGAAAAAATTACAGTGATATTATGATAAGCAGTATCTAGTACAATCAAAAAAGTTTAATTTTTTTGAGATTCTGTAACTTCTATCAGTATTTTATCAAAAAATATAACTGAATTGTGAGATTACTGTTTAAGCTCATTTAAAAGAATCAGTCTTTCAAGTAAAATGAAATCTATTAGTATATCTTTGATCAAATGAAAAGAGCTCTATTTGAAGTCTTAGTAATCTGTTATTACAATTCAAATCAAGAAACACAGGTGAATATAAATATATTAAATAATGCTATAGCTGATATGCTATCTCAGCTGTGTGAGAACAAATAGTAATATTTTATTATCTTCTACTCAGCTTCTATAAGTGAAGTAGAGAGAAACTATGAAATTTATGATAATAAGATACTAGCAATTATAATAGCATTAATAGAATAACAAGTTAAGCTGAAAGACCTTTAAAGAATAAAAAGATTCAAGATTCTGACTAATCATTGAGCTTTTAAGTACTTCATAATAATTAATAGTCTCAATATCTGACAAGCACAATGAGTAGAGTTCTTCTCTCAATTCTACTTTCTAATTCAATATCAACTCAAGTGTCAGAATACACTAGCAGATATACTGAGTCAGTCAGAAATTTATAAAGATAGTAAGAATACTCAGATATAATTATTTCTCAAGTCATAAAGATTGAATCTCAAGATCATCAAGAAATTCATTGAGATTAAAGCTCTAAATATAGATAAGTATATTTTTGATGAAGTCAAGACAAGAAACAGAGAGATAAAATCACTAAAGTCATGATGAAAAAAAGTATAATGAGAAGAACAGTACTAAAAATTAACAGATGAACTTTCGTGTTTTGAAGAGTATTTAATAATATTAATTGAGAAAGATTCTATTTTCTGAGTATATCTTTTAAATGAGATTCATAAATAATTATCAATAGTGTATTCTGAAAAGAGAAAGTTATACTTACTAGTGAAGATAAGATATTACTGAAATAACTAAATTAAAAATATTAACCAGTATATAAAAAATTATTTGATGTACTGATGAATGAAGATCTTCTATAATAAAAATTCAGAGCTGCTAAAGTCACTATTAATCTCAAACAGAGTTTGATAACATATCTTTATAAACTTCATAAATAATTCTATGACAAAAAGAAACTGATATAATATTGATAATTGTTTATTGACTAAGAAGAAGTCTATATCTATTCTCATTATAAGAAAGGCAAATATCAAAAAGCTGACAAGACTATTCTTGAAGCACTACTATGAGTATTATAAAGTATCAGATTTAATCATATCAGACTATAAATCACAATTCATCTCAGACTTTTGAAGTGAGTTTATCAGGTGATTGAAAGTTAAACTGAAGCTATCATCAACTCATCATGCATAAACAGATGATCAAACTAAGATTATTAATCAATATCTAACAATCAAGCTTTGTTCATACATAAACTACTATCAAAACAACTAAGATGAGTGATTGTTAATAATGAATCATATGATTAAAGCTCTTATAAATAAATCAACTAAGATAATATTTTTTCAAACTTCTTACAGATATGAATTTTAAATATTCTTTGATTGAAAATAATTATCAAGAATACTATCTAGAGAAAAGAAGTTCAAATAAAAGGATGCTTAGCAGTATATCATTTAAATGAAAAAAATCCAAAAGCAGGTAGCTGATAATATAAAAAAGATGCAAGAGATTATGAAATCACAGATCAACAAACACTGTCAGAAATCAAACTTTGAGATAAAAAATAAAGTCTTTCTATCATTCAAGAACTATAGAATTCAATACTTTAGCAGAAAGCTTATAGAGTAAAATCAGAGTCTCTTTAAGATAATTAAAAGAGTTGACAATAGTTATAGACTAAGACTACTAAATAATATAAAAATCTAATTAATATTCTCCTCTGATAAACTATGAAAAGCTGTGAATAACTCTCTACTGAGACAACTAAATAAGATATCAGAACTGGTCAAGATACAAAATAAAAATGAGTGAGAAGTTGAGAATATTCTAGCAAGCTGAGTTTCTTATAAAAAGTTTCAATATCAGATAATATAACTAGAATTTGATGATGATTCAATATAATATTTAGTATAAAATTTAAAAGAATCTCTGCATCTGATTCAATAGTTTTATACTATAAATTCAATGAAAGTAGAGTTCTCAAAGTAATTGAGTAAATGATTGAAGGCTTGAGAAAAAAATGACTATCTAGCAGATAAAAGTAAATGATAATCTACTAGCATAAGAGCATGTCTAAACTTCAAAAAAGAATAATATAATGATGTAGAATGAGCTCTGTAGTCTTCTTAACAGTAGAAGACTGAAATAAACAGTAATTATAATTATATAAATATAGTAATCACAAACTACTTAAACATTGACATAGTAACCAACCTTATAATTATCTCATATATAAATAACATGTAAATGTAGCAATTACATGATAACTGCACTAAGAAAAGAACTATATAAACAAAGTCCTCTATAAACTCATCTTTTAGAAATTATATTAGTATTCACTCAGATAATTTATGTAATTGGTAATTAAATATCTATTTATCTGTATTTAGATTAAAGCTATGATAAAAATTATATTAATATTTATAAACTTTATTAATATAATTAAAATAATATTTTAATAATTTATAGAGGTTCTGTACTGAAATAATAAAGAGTTTAAAAAGTAATAATTTAAAGATATTTTATAAGAATAGAGAAATAGCATATGAAGTGACTATCTTAGATATATCTTAATCAAATAACTCTATTGAATATGTGAACTGATTACTAGTGAATGAGATAAGAAGTTTACTATTTGATAGTGAGCTTGTCAAAGAGCTTTGAGATGAAGTAATGCAGACAGCTATAATATTAATAAATATATCTTCTATATCAATAAAGATTTTTAACTGTAAAGATAATAGTTCATTAATATCTTTTGAGATTTGAACAGAGATTTAACTATCAGTTTATTGAATTTGCAGATGAAAATATAAGATTTATAAAAAGAATCTAAAAGTAATAAATAAGTTTACAAATAGAATAGATAATAAGAAATAACAATTAATGAGTTATCAAAAACTGTATCAATATTATATATAAGATTTAAAA